CAACACTGTAAAACAATTATGAATCAATTAAAAATGTAAAAAAAAAATAGTGCTGCTGTGAACATTGGGGTACATGTATCTTTTTGAATTAAGGTTCCCTCTGGATATATGCCGAAGAGTGGGATTGCTGGGTCATATGGTAAATCTATTTTTAGTCTTTTGAGGAATCTCCATACTGTTTTCCATAACGGCTGCACAAAACTGCATTCCCACCAACATGTGGGAGGGTTTCCTTTTCTCCACAGTCTCTCCAGCATTTATCATTTGTGGACTTTTGAATAATGGCCATTCTGACTGGTGTGAAGTGATATCTCACTGTAATTTTGATTTTCATTTCTCTAATAATTAGTGATATTGAGCATCTTTTCATGTGCCTATTGGCCATCTGTATGTCTTCTTTACAGAAATGTCTGTTTAGATCTTCTACCCATTTTTTGGATTGGGTTGTTTGTTTTTTGTTATTGAATTGTATGAGCTGTTTGTATATTCTGGAAATTAAGCCCTTGTCAGTTAAGCCATTTGCATGACTCCTCCATCTCTGATGGCTTGTGTATTTTTTTCTTCAGAGGGTTTAACTGAAGTGAGTGCTGGTTGCAGAGATTATAGACAACCATGAAAATGCACTTGTTGAGTTTGCACGAAACATCCTCATGTCACTCCTATAGTGGTCTAAGTCTTAGGGCTCTTTCAGCCTCTGGGCCTATAGGCTGGGTTGCTTGGTAATAAATTTGCTTAGACTTGAGAGCAAACTTTATCATCCAGGAAGACAAGGAGGAGCTGGTGAGTCAGGTTTGGGACACCAGGGGCACAGGCTGTTCTGACTGGGCCCATAGTTTGGATGAAGGGGGTGCCTCTCCACAGGACACCTCCAGTAGCCAAGATGGGAAGTTGTAAATGAGGTGAGGATGGAGGAAGAAGTGGGAAGGGATCTGTTGGATCAAAGCCAACTTCACACCGGAGGAAATACTTACTAATTATAGGATGCCGTAAGATTGGCTTTGCCTCTGAGTGTGGGAGCAGTAACTTGTGCTTTAAACAAACAGCCCCATCACTGAACAGGAATTAGCAGCAACAATAGACATCTTCACAGGACCAGACTGACAAGTGGCCCACAACACACAGCCTCAAGCCTGGCCTGGACCAGGGCTTGGATGGAAGCAACACCTGGGAAGCCAGCCAGCCCATGCTTGGGCAGCCCACAGAGGTATCAGCACAGAAGTGACGCATTCATTCTTAGGCCATTTGCTGAAAACTTGTTATGTGCTGTGCACTGAGAGGAACACAAAAGAAACGTAAGACACAGGCCATACCCACAGTCAAGAGAATTGAGGAGACAAGTTTATGATTGAAAAATTAAAACAGTAGCACATACCAGGGGATTGGTTCCAGGAGTCTCCCTGGCCCCCGCCCTCCTTCTCGCCAACAGATACCAGAATTTGTGGATGCTCAAGTCCCCTATATAAAATGGTGTAGTATTTGCATATAACCTATGCACATCCTCCTGTGTACTTTAAATCATCTCTAGATTACTTAAAACACCTAATACAATGTAAATGTTATGTAAATAGTTCTAAGTGTAATGTCAGTAAATCATTGCCAGCAAGGGGGAAATTCAAGTTTTGCTTTTTGGAACTTTATGGAATCTTTTTTTCTTGAATATTTTCAATCCTTGGCTTGTTGAATTCGAGGATATGGAGGCCCAACTGTATATTATGTGTAAGGAATGCGGATGCTCAGAGCCAAATGAGAATTCTGGACCAGGTGATAGAAGGGAGGGAGGTCTGTACCACACTGGGGTGTTTCTTGTAAAATAAAGGAAACACAAAGAAGGATAAAGAACAAAATTAAAAATCATACTAATAACACTTGTCAGGAATATATTGTTACTGTTTTGGTTACATCCTTAAAGATCTTTTTTCTGCACATGTATATGGATATATACACACATACACACTTCATTACATAAATGGGTTCATATGTTCA